TATACGGTGAGTCTGCTTGGACTTGGCTTAAGATTGATTACCTTTCAGTCTCAGGGTAGACTCTTTGGTTTGCTTTCAACTAAGTATGACATTTTCAGTTATCACACCATAGCAGGAGAGAACTCTCTGGAGAAAAAAGAGAGGTGCATGTCGCACCAGTTCGACGCAGTGGTTGTGATTTTAAATCTATGTTATCTGAAATGTATTTTGGTAAAGGATAACTGTTCACTGGCTGCAGAAAAACACAATTACACCAACTGATGCCCCACCACCTGATTTTGGGACACAAGTGATTGTTGATTGGCTGGTGATGGTGTTCTGGTTTAGCAATGATTAACACACATCTCACATACAAGGTGACGTCCCTTGTCTCCTTTGTTTTTCTGAAATTTAAAGAGGCCCGATTAAGTTTTATTGGGTTTGCCCTTTCCTATATGTATTATATAGATGTATGTGTCCATGTAAATGGTCTGCAAATATTCAAATCTTCCTTCCTGCCTCCATTAGACTCCTTTCTCTTCTTCAGTAACATCACTATTTAACATTCATGTGATAGGCTATGGGGCGGTTGCCCAATCACAACAGAGCCGGCCAGCTAACCAATCAGAGCAGACTGGGCTCTGGTTTCAGACAGAGGGTGAAAAGAGGTGCTGCAGCACAGGCAGTATGAGAAAAATAAAGAGCTTTTTGAACATTAAAGCATGGAGACATGTCACAGGAGAGACACTAAATACAAATAAGAACCTGAAAATTAGCATAATAGGGCCCCTTTAATTTCCGCAAATAGCAGGCTTAAACAATTAGAATTGAAATAAACTAAAGTTTACAATCAAAGTATAACTGATTCATAACTGATTCATTTTCATCAGCAGGAGAACAAAGGCAGGTTGTTTACTGTATGCCTTTTTTATGTTTTAATCTTAATTATAACTTAACACATAAATGTATCCAAGCTGCAAGTCTTTTATGAGTGGAGGCAACTCGCAACATCTCAAATAAAATACTGCAACAAGAGACTTGATGCCTACCTGTAAAAACATACTATCCTATCATTCAGTGCTTAGTTCTTGCTTTAGCATCCATTTTGATGTTTGCTGAATGACATCGGTGGAATAAAAAAAGAGACAACGCGGTGAGGCAATGAATTTAAAAATGAAGATCTTTCAAAGCTCGTTTGAATCTCTGGATGAGGTTGATTTTTTCATTATTCTTCACATGACTTTGCCCCCAAATTGATTATTGATGTGAGTTCTTTTATGTGGTAAAGTCTTTTGGTTTATGAAGTCCTTTTGATCTGGAACATAATGATTGTCTAGATAAAAGAGTTGCGCAGAGTTCAAATTCAATTCTCTCTTATTCGAGTACCAACGCTCAAGGCTTAGGGGCGGTGCTTCCTTCATTCACACATGAAGAATGGAAACAGTTTGGTCTAATTATGACAAAGTCAAGAAGTGCACACGATCCCTCATAAATGTATTAATGCACATTTTTATTTAAAATTTCGGAAAAAATATTTTGTACCAATGATCACACGTTTTCTTATCCTTTCTTACTTCAGAAAAAACAGAAAAATGTTCAACATTAAAGACCAAACTGGTATCAAATATGCAGCCTAGAAGATAGGCTTCTAAAAAAAAGCTCCGCTGTATGATGTTATGTTTAACATTTATGAAGTCATAATTCAAGTCAATCTTAAATGAATTTACTCTTACATAATTTCCCTTTTTTGTAATATTTTGTTCCCACATACTGGATATTTCTACTCCGAGCTTTCATTATTAATCACATTCATTTGTGCACTTTTATTGAACTGCTAACAACATCCCCTTGGTTCTGAAATAAACAACATTACTAGACGCATTCAATTAGGTATTGCCACAGTATAACCTCGCCCCAGGCAGTGGAGTATTGTGCTGCGTTGCGTTGAGCTGATCTGGGAGCAGGGCATCGTTTCAAATCCCAGTCCGTCCCTGGTCAACGTCAGCTTTCTCTTCACAGACATGATGTTGAAGCCCTGCAGGCAGCCGAGAGGCCGACTCCCTGCTCCGGTCAGCACGGGTCATCAGATACAGCCCAACTTCGAGATGTGGCCGGATTTCAAATGTTCTACCTCAAAACCTGAAGTATATGTGTATATGTATGTCGTGTATGTGTTACATGTACATCGCTCCACTCTCACTGAGGCTAGTGTCACTCAGGTAGTCATGACAACTAAAACATCACATTTCCTTTTAACGTTTCAGCTTTGTGTGTGTGTGTGTGTGTGTGTGTGTGTGTGTGTGTGTGTGTGTGTGTGTGTGTGTGTGTGTGTGTGTGTGTGTGTGTGTGTGTGTGTGTGTGTGTGTGTGTGTGTGTGTGTGTGTGTGCGTATCTGTATCTGTATCTGTATCTGTATCTGTATCTGTATCTGTATCTGTATCTGTATCTGTATCTGTATCTGTATCTGTATGTGTGTATATAATTTTGTCTTAGTTTACATTATTTAATTTCAAATTCTGTTCTTGTACATATCCCATATTCTATTGACATGTATATAGTCTTTTTACAGTACTTTTTATTTTGTATTTTTGTATTTTATTATATATGTTGGATTGTTGAAGGAGCTCAAGTCAGAAGAATTTCATTTCCATTTCTTCACTGTAGCTTTGTGCATATGACAATAAAACCTTTGAATCTTGAATCTTGAATATAGAAGTTCGGGTGTGTATGTAAACCCATTATGAGTGAACTTATATACATATTATATGATTCTTTTTTTATATATGTTTTATATTCAAAGAGCATGGGAGTGGTGTTGACATGTGTAGATGAATATATTATATATGTCTATTTCTTATTTATTTATAATTGTATTTGACGTTAAAATTGGATGACTATGCCCTCCCGCTTCTACTACTTCTGTTTTCTAGTACCTTCTCTGTATGGATTGTTTGTATTAATATTGTATTGAATTAGTAGAATAAACACTTTATAATGGCTTATGGTTGCAGCAAAGTGGTTATACAGTATATTTGTATGCTTAAGGCACAAGAGATAACTTTTTTTAATTGATTTAATCACATAAATACAAAAATATGTCCAGGTCTTTTACAAGCTCCGCCCTCTTCTGTCTGTCATCATTGTCCTTCCACCTTCTCAAGCTCTACTCCTATTTTTTTAGTCCTTAGTTCCTCATTTTTCTTATCTTTCTGTCTCATCTCCTCTCGAGCCATTCATATCTTAACAAGAGTAGAAGAACATTTGTCAAAACTACATTACGCATCATCTTACCCAAGAACTACATCCAAACCTTCCTGCTTTGTCCACAAATCATTTTTAAAGTGGTTCAGCACCATTTGGAGAGGGCGTGTTGGGATTTGACCCTTCGTGTTTGTTTCCAGAGATGGATGTTGTACATAGATTGTTTCCAGTTAACAAAAGCGTGCTTGACTGCACAGTGGATCGTGATTAGATTAAAGCTGCACTTTAAGAGCTTTTCGTTTGTGTTAAATCGGGTTTTATCTCCGAGGGCGACAGGGCCAAAACGGGACAGTGCTGAGAGACATCTGCTGAGTAAAGATACACAAACTCTGTGAAGGGCAAGCACAGGAGGTCTCTATCCCTGACAGTTAGACAACTTCCATGATGCACTCAAACACAAACTCTTGGAGTGATGCCGAGCACCTGCATGTTTCTTGGGTGAGGCGAGAGAAAGAGATATATAAAGGGAGACCAGAAAGATCATTATGGGGGGGGGGGGGGGGGGGGGGGAAGTGTTCAGAACGAGAGAGAAAGACATGGGAGGAAGACAGAAGGCCTGGGGAGCGTCCATGTCATTACATTTCCCTTGAACTCATGTCAGGGACCCTCTGCTGCCATCAGTCTGATGAAGTGTATAGCTGGTGCTATGAGCAGTCGTCCTGGCAAATCACTTCACGGATCGCCGCACAAGAGCCCTGAATGCTCTGAGCTGTGAGACTGCGCAACATTTCCACCACACGTGTAAAAACAGCCGAGCACGTAATGTCCTCCATGTTTACATGGCATGACACTTGACATCAGTCACACAAGCTTCGGCCATGTGTAAGCATGGAGTAATGTCGCTCTTGGGTTAAGGACTCACTTTTAGCCCGATCCCCAGGGCCCTGCATCTCCATCAGCTCTGGTTCAGTCAGATATGTTTTCATGTGAAACATATGGACCAAGAGACATGTCAATCCAGGAGGCTGCCTGATGCTCTCTAAATGTTTGGCAACGTGCAAACAAGAATGTTAAAATAAGAGTGCTATTTAACGTGCTGCGTAAGTGGACACATAAGGGCCACTGAGCTATACAATTGTAACCTAATATGGAACACTTTAGGTGAAAACCAATAAGTCCACCACAACAGGTCTATGTGATGTAATCCCATTATAGCTCCATTACCTTAGAGTGGGTGAGGAAAGAAGGAAAGCATGTATTTTTCATCAAGGGCTTCTGGGTATCATTACAAGAGGGCATGAGGGAATAAGGCATCAACAAGGGTGTGGAGTGCATCCTTATTGTCTTTGCCCGGAAAGTACACTCTTTGTTAAGATCGGAAGAATCATTTAAAATAAATATTATAATGCTAAAGAATGCCCTAATTCACATACATTAACATCTATAGAGGTGTGTTGCACTTTGACAGACTGCTTACTGCCGCAGTGCGAGTGCTTCTTCTAGTAGCTGTGCATGACCATGAGGCTCATGAAGAGCCCTGCTATGCATTTTCAGGAACAAAACCATTTAGCATGGTGTGAGCTGGATTCACGGCCACAGGGGGAATACAGAAGGAAACAAATGACACTAAAGATCCAGATCGTTCATAATGAGCTGACGGTGAATAAATGTGGAAGGAGCAAGTTCTAATTTATACATTTGTAGTTTTACAAAGCATGATTTAAAGAGGTGTAATTATGTTGCAGGTTGTGAAATTGCCACACAGTTAAACATGATGTGAATTTGTGAGACAGAGAATAGTAAAACCGTCTGCCTCCTACCTTCAGTGAGTCCCATGTGGATGGTCCAGTAGTTCTGCAGACACTGCAGCTCCTTCTTCATGCCCCTCTTGCAGCGGCAGTCATACAGAGGACTGACCAGGAGCACTTCCAAGGCCGCCTGGCACTCCCTGTTGTTGTCCAGCATGGCTTCCTTCTCCTTGCCCACAAGGCACTGGCGCATCACCCGGTACCGAGAGCTGCAGTAAGCGTTCTGGTTGCACATGTCACTCGCCTGGATGCAGTCCACCCACTCCGGCTGAGCTCCAGGCACAGACCCGGTGCCCGGAGATCCTGGAGAACCACTGGCCAAGGAAATGGACAAAGCTGAGGGAGTCTCCCAGGAACTCGCCGACTCATCTGGGGGACAGACTGGTGTGACAAGACAAAAAGGGCTCAGAAATCACACTTGAATATGGGGGATTTTGGATTTGTGTGTGTGTGAATGCAAGTCTATCATAAACCTGCTTTCATTTTGGGTTATTTTTATATGGGACCCATAAACAGGTTTCATGGCCTGTGACATGCCCACACAGGCCAAGGCGTCTTTCAGCAAGACAGTTACATTCCTCATGTTCACATTAGACATATAAATCTCTCCATGGGGTCTTGTTAAGTTCCCGTTCAATTAATATTCAGTTATTTTCTGTTGTCACTTTAGTGCATCTAAAAACAAGTGAGACTGCGGCGTTCAGGCTCAGTAATTAAAGGAAGACTTGATCAATTAAGTGTATCTAATTATCTCACCTTTAAAAAAAAAAGTGAGCTTCCCAATATCACATCCAGAAAATGACACCTGGCTTTGAGTAAACAATGATGCACAGAACAGAGTCAGGTGTTGCGTTTGACATAAGTCAACATTCAAACATCCAAACACACACACACACACACACACACACACACACACACACACACACACACACACACACACACACACACACACACACACACACACACACACACACGCACGCACACACACGCACACACACACACACACACTTTAACTACAGGCGGTTCTGGTGAAATGACAAGAGAGACCCCGTGTGGTGATACTGAGCATCGACCCTCAAAGGGGAGGGGACACTGCATCAGTATTAGAGAGCAACGTAAAGGAAAAAGAGTCACATGAAGTTAACTGTGAAAATATGTTATCAGTCAGATGACTTAAACTGACGCACTGGCGTTTGTGGACGACACTCATGATGGTAATTAGGATGATGATGATGATCATGATGATGATGATTATGATGATGATGATATTTTTTCACATTAAACCAAACACTAGTGTGGTGAAAGCTCAGTTATTTTCTTTTACTGACTAAAAGATGTGGCAATAATGAGATCCATCCTGTGGGTTTTTTAATGAATCAAAAATAATAAGTGTTTCACTCGCATACACCAACTTCACCTTGTAGCTTTGACATTAAACATAATTGATCTGCCTAAAATATAACAGTATTTGACCACACATATTAATTTATAAAAAGCAGCATGAATCTTTTGCCCTCAAGCAACTCATGCATGACAAAAGTGGACACAGCAGAAAATGCCCCTTGGCAATCATTAATAATGTCAGAATTTATCCATCCTGTCATTTTTAATGCCTGAATTTATCACATTTGCGCACAATTATACATGTTTTCCATATTTCACTTCTCACCTAAGAGCAGGAGGAAGATGTGAACGCACATCCACACAGTGACAGACTTCATGTTGGAGAGATGAGTTAGGGTCCAAACGATGAATATTTCCACCTTGTCAAAGGTTAATTCCCCTCTTCGGATCCTTGACCCGTGCGTAACCTAACTAAAAAACCAAATACAAAATAAATATCCTCTTTAAAAACGCACCTCCGGAAAAAAAATCCTCGACCCCCAATAGTAATCCACGATTATTTTTTTTATTAATACACTAACCACGACACAGAAAGAAATCCTCTGATATTGAAGAAAAATGTAAAATCAAATGCCAATCAATCAATCAGTCAATCCATGGAGCAGTTTCTCAGGGTCCGTCTGCGCTGCGTTCATTCCGACAAACTACTGAGACTTGATCTCTCCGCATTATAAGGGCTCACACTGCCCGCTCCAATTGCCCCTTGGAGACAATTTCTCCCTAAAACATTCCTTAAACTGGCGTGAAAAGATCTGTCAGCTATGCCAATATCTCTAACGAGGCAGAGGAAGTCATCTGAAAGTGACTACAAAACGCTGACTGGATTGTTTTCTCATCAACCACTGGCTCCTTCAGAAAGCAGTGCGCTCCTCTGGAGGGAGTGAACGCTTCTTTTGCACTGACTGCATGTGTGTCGAGGCATCACGGCACTTTATAAAGAGGAGTTTCTGTGCGCCAGCAGAGGGCGCTGTGGGGAGGGTGCTCTCATTGGAAAACGTGGGTCACAATCGGTCACAACGAGGCCCAATAAAAATAATGTTACCCTATAGAAAAATCACCAGGATATGTCTGTAATCTTCCTGCAGGGAGCTGGGGAGAAATACACCTGCGGTCCTCGGCAGCGGTGAAATGATAGTGACCTCACTTGGCCTGTGAGGTATTTCCTGTGGGGTATTGCCTCAGGATTTTCTGTGAGAGCCTATATATTTTGTGAAACAATTTCTGAGATTCATGTGCAAAATCATTCTTGCAAGATTGCTATATCTTTCGTTAAAGCTTCTTCACAGTCTTTTAGAGAAAGGTGAGAAGAAAACTGCAGCAAATCAAGGGAAGGAATTTGTTGGCAACATGTATCAATAGCAAGAATATCTGGTGTTCCAGCTCAAGGGTTAATATTTTATTCAGCTATTTAGCTAATTCATTTTTGGCTGACATTAGTGGTTTACCGACAACTTAGAGAATATGCTAATCATTTGTATGGACAGGGTTCAAGGGTGGACTCAACAAAGATGATGAAAATGTCATCATTCATTACAGCGAGAGTCCAGCAATTTCTCCTGACATCTGTGTTTCCTCTGATTGAAAGGAAGATAAAAAAAAGGAAAAAAAAACCCGGGCACAATGCCTGGTATTATATATGTGCTCGGAGGAAATAAGCCCACAAGAATCTGCCATTTTTCAAAGTGGCTTTGCATTAGACAAAATGACTTTGTTGTGCATCATCGCTTAAATAGTGCCGGGAATGTCATAAATCTCTACAAATCTTGAAAACAAAGTCTCTATTTAGAGGCTCTGACAGTGACAAACTGCAAGGCCACTGGCTCATAATGACATTTGACTGTCAGCCCGGGCTCCCATCCAAGAGGGAAAACAGCTCGCTGCTATAATGGCAAAATCAGCCTCATTCTGCCTATATTGGCCCGGGCTTATTCTCCTCTCCCCCAAGATTTTGAAGTCTCTGTCATTATGAGGACATTGAAAAGCATCATCCTCCCCTATGACTATATCCTGTCTGTCCTGCAATGGTGCTGCAGTGACTGATTCAGCCTCTTCTTCAATTCTTTAAAGCAGGAATGCATTTTTTCAACACAGAATGGCAACCTTGTGCAGCTATTTCCAAAACCGGAGCAATTTCCTTTTTCATTTAACGGATAAACAAGAAGCCGTAAAGTTATTCAAGTAATTTCTGACTGAAAAAGAGTTATACAGTATAAACCAGTTCAAGTTTTCAGTTGCTTGAGCAGTGGGCTCAGGAGGAAGAAGACATTTCTTGTTGTAACACAAACAATCAAGAGACACATTAGCTGCAAACACAGGGAACAAATACATTTGCATTGTGGATTCCTATTCCGGCATCACATTATTTCCTCCCATGATTGTGCAATATGGATAAATCTTTTTATCTTTTTATTTCTTTTCTTGAGCCAGGCTGTTAGGTCCATTGTGGGACATTATTCTTGTTGACATTGCACGATTCACCCCCTCTGTGGGTATTTAATTGCTCCGTTCTGACTTCATAAAGCATCTGTATTCATTTTTTTTTATGTGTACGATTAGAGGCAGCCCACAGAGAGACACACGCACATGCACGGCTCCATACTGGTTTCATAAATAAGCATATACTTATGCACACAGATGCACACAATCTGTATGTCAGATAACCGTTCTCTCTGTGACAACTCAAGACCGTGAAGATAGGGAATGACAAATCTGGATATTGAAGACATTGTTCTTACTATTGAGGGAAATCAGAGCCTGTCTCTGAGAAGTGTGTCTAATATGGTGAATATAGATGATACCATTATGAATTCATCGGATATGAAATAATGATAGAGATGGCAGTCAGAGTTAAGACCCTGTACAATAACTTGTGCTTAGAGAGACAGCAGGGGGGTTATCAGTCAGGCATACTCTCAGGGGTCGAATAAGAGCGTGGATAGTCTGAAATTGTGAACGCAGGACAGAAATAACGTGCATACTAATGCGATGCACATTTTTATTCACATTTTCTACAAGTGATTTGGAAGGACTCTAGTTAGCGTGTTTAGCAATCATTCAAACTCCACATTTAGCCTTTAAAGTGTTAACTATCTAGAGCAACACATTGAACAAACTATTGATCCATGTGCTTAATGTCTTACCCTATAATACTTTAAATTGAAAGGGTGTTAGGCAACATTGATAAGGTTTTGCTTCGCCTCACAGATTTGCGAAAAAAGGAAATTTAGCTTGAGATTTATCTGAGGGCAAAGGTCGCTGTATCTCTCTCGGCAGGTCATGCTCGTTGGAGAGAGTACTAATGAACCTAAGCATACAATATTTGCACACACACACTCAGGAAATCACACAGAGCTAACGCATGACTGATTAGATTAGGAATTATGGGCTAATTAATGTGCATCTTGGGAGACCTGTGCAGCATGCTTATGAGGAGACACAGCCCGAGGCTGAGCAGGGAACATGACAAAAACATAAGTGTAGTTAATTCCCAGTATTAAATTAATTACATGAATTACCAACAGTGCACCACAGCTCTTTTTCCTCCCTGTTTTTTATTGAGTTCACTGTAAAAGGAGAAGCAAAAAATGAAATATCTGTGTGTGTGCACTGTACCGTCCTGAATTATTTACGGATAGGTTGCAAAATATCTTTAAAACTGTAACTCTTAACTGAAAGTGTTTTTTTGAAATATTGGGAAAGACAAAAATTATATGGGTCACATAATATATGTGAAACCTCTCTGCTTTCACACAGCCATTAGTGCCTGTATCAGGTGCAAAGCCATAAGTCATTTAAAATCAATCTATTTAAATCAAAGTGAGGGGAAATATAACTGATGGCTGCGGATACGGTGGAGTGACAGGTGCAGCTAGGCTACTTCTTCATCTCTGTGCGGCCGGTTCCCTTCACTCTGCATTGTTCCTTTGGCTCACAGTTTAATACAATGCAACAACAAACTGATCTCACACAAGGTCCTACATGTCAGTGTTTATGTGTGTGTCAACTTTGTTTTGGGTTGTTTTGAGCGTATAAAAAGCGCTCCATTTCTGATATGACCTCCGCTAGACTCTCTGGAGGCTATCGACCAGTTAGATCCATTTGTTTTCCAGGCATTTCAGACCTTGTCCATTTCTATCACATTACTTTGACAGAAATTGAATTTCCTCTGATGCATTTTTATGTATCCTAAGTGCTGCACTGTTCTCAGTGGGAGTATAGCGTTTCCAGTGGCGTGATGATGCAAAAACACTTTGGGTTTATACAGAGAAAAGGGGGAAATGGGTTTTATTTCAATGTAAGTATTGACTTATGTTTTGTTTTATGGTTTTTCAAGATGATTCAAGGAGCAGTCCTTCAAAATAAGCGCTATCGGCCAGGGGCTCTAGACATCGTCTAAAGGCTGTTACAAAATCTTACAAGAGCACATACTGTAAAAACACTTAGAGGACACATTTTATCAGTGTGCTGATGCCATGCTGGGCTTTCTGTGTTGTTAGTCTCCAAAAGATCGCTATCTATCTGACTGTAATGGAAGTACACAGCGAGGACATGTACCTGTTCTTATCGAGGAGGCACAAACAAATAGCATGAGTCAGCATTTCCTTGCAGTTCTTATTTCTGTTCTTATTTCTTTTACAGTTCAGGAATTTTACCATCAATGGCACACACCATATTGATTTTGATGACTGCTCTGTGGATAAATAGATTTCATTTTCCACAGAGCTGCAAACGGTGGTACGTCTAGCCCTTGAGGTTAAACACGCCGTGGGTCCCGTACGGGATATTGACGGGGACCTCTGCTCTGCCCAGCTCAGTGAAGGTCTTGGCATCCAGAATGAGCAGGAAAGTGCTTTTCTCCTGGAAACAGAACACATTAATTAGGTAATGTAAATAGACAGGTCACAGAACACCCTTGTCACAACAATGATAGGGAAAGTACCAAACTATTGGTTTTCTCTATGGAAATGTAAAATGATTGTGATACTTTAATTACTATGTCAAAGTGCATTGCTACATTCTAACGTCATAATGATTTAATGTATTGCCGCCTAAGTCAACACTATGTGCTGCTTCTGTTGTGGATTGTTTTGCTGTTGTGATTTTTGTGAACATACTTCTCTGGGTGTAATGATGACAGACAAGACTACTCCATCATCTTCCTCAGTAGCTTTGGGCGATGCAACAAAGACAGGCTCAGACGGGTACAAGCCAGGATAACGCCACACCTAGACAGGGAAGATTACATGAACATCCCCTTCACTCTGAGCCGTTTCATGTTATAAAACCAACTCCCAACCTATCTATCTCAGTGATAGAGAAGCAGCAGGAGAAGTCACTTTGATGTGAACAGCTAACAATTAAGTCTCCCTAAGAACTATTTGATTAATAGAGACCTTAAGCTCCTTGGTGTGGACATCCATTTTGAGCAGGGAGTCACTGAAGCAGTGTCCGAAGCCGCAGGAGTAGAAGTAGCGGTAGGGTTTTCCGTTGTACTGGTCGTAGTTGATCTGAGGGAACTCGAGGCCCCCGTACTGCAGCAGCTCATCATCGTAAAGTTCCTCGTGGGTCATGTAAACCTGGAGGGTTACAGAACAAAGTGACATTTATCACTTTCAACTTTTACATCAAAAAATGCAACCAAGTAGACCTGACTTAATGTACACTGTTGCTGGAATCAAGGGCGTCACTTTGTGGTAAGAAGTGGTGGGGATAGGGGGGGGTCAGAAGATTTGTAAATGGTCTTCAACATATACACTTTTAGGCAATGTAAGGGGATCAGATTAACATATATATTTACCAAGATTGGGAAAAACAAGAAAACTTTGTCAAGAAATGTTTGAAGTTTCTGATCGGTTTCGTATTTCATGTTTTAAGTTAACGTTTGTTGGAGAAAGTATTTTTTTCAGAACGTATGTTAAACATTTTTGACAACATTTTGAATGGCCTGGAAATGTCCCCAGAGTAAAAAAATTACACCTATGCTGGAATTAATATTGTATTATTCTCTCAATTCAGTAAATGGATACCAGCACAAGGTGACAGAAATTCATTTCCATATTGAGTTATAAATCGATTGCTTTATCTAAAAATAAATATCTTCCTTGAATTGCAATAAAAAAATCATTTTTTCTTTATATTTGCCCTCAGGGACTGTGATAGCCACGTTCACAGCTGTGTTTCCACTAATTCGTTACATGTACATCGCTCCACTCTCACTGAGGCTAGTGTCACTCAGGTAGTCATGACAACTAAAACATCACATTTCCTTTTAACGTTTCAGCTCTCTGTGTGTGTGTGTGTGTGTGTGTGTGTGTGTGTGTGTGTGTGTGTGTGTGTGTGTGTGTGTGTGTGTGTGTGTGTGTGTGTGTGTGTGTGTGTGTGTGTGTGTGTGTGTGTGTGTGTGTGTGTGTGTGTGTGTGTGTGTAGGACAGTGGAGAGGTGAAGACAGCCTCTTGGGAGACTCACATTACACCCTGCTGGCTGATCCAACACCTTGTGTCCAGTGTGTGTGTGTGTGTGTGTGTGTGTGTGTGTGTGTGTGTGTGTGTGTGTGTGTGTGTGTGTGTGTGTGTGTGTGTGTGTGTGTGTGTGTGTGTGTGTGTGTGTGTGTGTGTGTTAGCTTCAATGGCAATTGTTCAGCCGCACAGTGGACTTCATGTTTCTCTGCTGAAAGTCATGAAGTAACAATCTTGTTAAGTACCTTCAGTGTTTCAGCGTGCCAGATAATTGCGCAGAGTGGGAGTGAATAGCTGTATTTTTCATGATTATAGGCCTCCATTTTTACTTGACTCAAGGAAAACCAGTTTGAATGTAATGTACAGTTAAACATAATACTTTGTATATACAGTGACCGTACAGCACTCTGTTTAATCGTACCTCTTTTGCTTTTGTTTTCTTTGCTGTGGCTTTGTACCCAGTGACAAGGTTTTGATCCAAAGGAGTTTCCTCGTCCACAGTCAGGGGTAGGACATATCTCCTCGGGAGGTTTCTGCACAACGAGTTGTAGAACTGCCAGATGAAATCAGACATGAAAAAGTGTGGCTGATTTGACTGAAAGGTGCAATGCAACCTCGGTAACAATCAGACCCAAACAGATACAAAATACTGACAAAACAATCTGGCTTTTCTTATGACAGTTTTTTTTATATTATTTTCAGGTGAGAATGTTTTGATTAAAGTAAAATTGCAGCACTAACTCATGAGTCACAGAGAGAAAGTAAAATGGAAATAACTGACAATCAGATAGAGAGCAGAGAGAGAAACAAATAAAGCGAGACGGAAATGGCCTTGAAGAACAAAGCTAGAACCACAAAATATCTCAAAATCCTGATTCATGTTTTCTTATTTATTTATTTTTTTGTAGATAATGATTTAAGTCAAAACTAAGTTGATGAAAAAATTGATGATAAGAATAATAAGAATGCAAACCGACATGTTAGCAGAAAAATGGTGGCATAATGGTCTAACAGAAACACCATTATATGACAATCAGTCAAGATTAAATAATTTAGTTAGAGACAAAAATACCCTTACCTACTGCTGACAAATCTGCATGTATTTACCTTGTCCATTTCCTCTCCAGCGCCTCTCCTGAGGTTCTCCAGTGTGAAGTCTGCGATGACCTTACCATCGTCCCCGCAGCACATGTCCATCACCAACATCCCGTTGTCTTCAAAGGCATTGATCTGATGCAGTGTGAACATGGGGGCTGCCCGGTACCTCACCTCACTCTCCTGTGGGACCAACCAGCAAAACATTACCAAAATGACAAAGGATTATAAATGCTTTGGAATAAACAGAGCTTTCTCTTTTTGTGGTTATTTTTAACATTTGAGGACAAGCCCCCTCCCACACACTGCTGTTATTGTGTTGTACCTTCACATTATGAACGTTTGATATAGTATGCTTAATGGGTATGCTGTGTAATGAGATGAGAAAATTGAGAGTAACAATGTATGAGGAAAAGCTACACCATCAGAGTGTGACTTCATCAAAATAAATAAGAAAAAAGCTCTGCCACGCGTGAAGAGATTAGCTCGCAGCTTTCCTTTTTTTTTGTTTCTGGCTATTCAGCAAACGTGTGTTTTCTACCTCACACTTTCCTGTGTGTCTGCTGCTGTGCGCCGGATTAACTCACCTCGCCAGTGTGCCTGTTGACCAGGTGGAAGATGGTTTCGTACTGAGGCTCCCAGGTCATGACTTTATGAAAGCTCTTTCCTTGGATTCGGTACAGCATGAACTTCAGCAGGTCCAGCTTGATCGGCTGCTCAATGAACACGATGTAGTTCTCCGACATGACTGGAGACACACGGGAGGACATTTATTCAATACAAAAACACATTATTGACACGTCTTTTTAAATCATATGTCAGTAACATACCATGTGAGGTCGGCCCAGACCCTAGGGGTTTTTAAATCTACACTAAAGACTCACTTCTTCTCTCTGGCCTTCTAGTTAGAGCGGAGCACGACTCCTGACTTTTCCTTGTGTTTTTATTTTTATTTTGTTTTTTATATATATCTGTTGTAATTTATTGTCGTTTATTGTGATTGTAGTAATGTGTTTTTATTACATGTACAGCACTTTGGCTCGACCAAAAATCGCTTTTAAATGTGCTATATAAATAAAACCTGATTTGATTTGATTTGATATATCATGTTTTGAAGCTTGACTAATCAAGGCAGTGTCAATCATGTTAGCCCTGTCTTAGCATGGGAACCAAAAGGGTCACGCGTTCTAGAATTGATAGTTTGTATTATTATTATATTTGTCAAGGCGGTTATCTTTCTGGTTCAATTAGTTGGTTTGTTTGTATCTCAGGCAGGATTAGGAGAAAACTACTAGTACAACATTGTCCAACAAAGAACCCATTACATTGCGAAGTGGATCCAAATGACAGGATGTGTACATACATCATGGATTAGTCCCGATTGGAACAAAATACAAAGTGCAGACAGGTAGTGAGAGAGGTGCAAGTTTGCCTCCAGTTGACTGCTGATGTGTCCTTTAGCAAGGCAAAAGAAGAAAAAAACGAATTGGCGCTGAACCATTTGTGCTCCGACACCTCTCCACTGATCATGTGTATGGGTCGTGTTTGTGCATGTGTATATTTTGGGGCTTTGTCTGTGACGTAAAGTAAATAAGCCTAGAGTAAAAAACTGAATTTCCTCTTTGGGATTAATAAAGTAAATTCTTAATCATGGTGGGATTATACATCTCAGTTAGATTTTTTTATAATTTATGATTTTGACAAGTTCTTCTCTTATCATTACCCCACAGATATCATTACATTTTCACAAACGCATCAAGTTGGTGAGCTTATTATTTCAAGGACACATTATGTTAGGTAGCGTGGAAAAGGTAGGACCCAACTGCAGACGAAAGACTGACCGTGACTGACATGGAGGGAGACAGGAAAAACCAACAATGAACCGACAAGGCACACAGGGGGTGTTTCTCAATCGCGAGTACGCTTGCTTGGTAGCACATGTCTGCCGAGCATGTTGCTTCAGAAGCGAGTCAAGAATACTTCCTGGCATTCGGAAAACGAAGTGTGGAACACGCTAGCAAGTGTGCAGGTGTGCGTCATATGAGAGGCCCCGCCTTACATCTTCCGCCACAGATTTGGGGAAATTGGTCCGTGCGCAAAGCATTGTGGGGATTTTAAGACCGCAGAATCTACTCATGTGCAGCCTCGATATTTCTCCAAACGGAGTACGCCGGGCTCGGTAGATTTCCAAGTATGCTGGAGATTGGAACAGTACTTCGGCGGCACTCGATGACGTAGTATGCTTGAAATAGTGGCTCTGAAGCAGCTTTACTCGCGATTGAGAAACACCCAGAGGAAGACAAGACTAAATACAGAGAGGGGTAATCACAAGACAAGACACAGGGGGTGAACACTTTTCAAAATAAGACAGGAAACCAAAGACAGAAAAAGACAAGACAAAACACAACACAAACAGATCGTGACACATTAACTGTCAATATTGTTTCAGTAGTTAGTTCGCTGGGAACCAAATTACAGTACAGGGTTAGTGGTAGGACATTAATGTCTTGATGTAAACTGAAAATGACACCATCATTCAGAATGATGTGAGACGGATTTTGTCTTCGTTTTATCCCACAGGCCATAAGACTGCTAAACTCCTAAGCTCTGTGAACTGCCTTCACCTTCATATGTTTATACATCTGTATACAGCTAACGTATTTATTGATTTATTTATTATAACAATAAGCAGTGTTTTACTTGCATATTGATACGTTTGCTTTATGTATATTTCAGTTTCTCCTTGCACTATTTTATGATGATGAGATGCTAACATAATTACACTTTTCTACCTCATATATATATTTCTTTTTTTCTTATCTTGACATAATTAAAATCTTTGTTGGTTTTTGTATTGTGTTAGGTATATTTATTTTTGTACTGTTGGAGGAGCTTGGGACTTCATATTTTCATTGCCAAAACCACGCTGTTTCCATTGTGCATATGACAGTAAAGCCTTTGAATCTTGAATCTTGTTGGACAAGTAAAAGAGTGTTTGCATAAATGATAAATCCTTTTTTTCAGAAGGCCACTGCTACTCGGTACATTTGAAAAGGTAAAACATGTCTGCCCTTCGAGACAAAATGTTGTGCTGCTGTAGCAGACACACACTTGAAATAGGGGCTAAACATAACCCCTATCCACTGTAACTATACTGACAGAAGTAATTAGGTGGTGCCTTGTCTAACCGTAAAATGGTCCACCACTTTTGAGATTTCTTGGAGCCAGACAGTCTGGCAGAGCAAGGGTGGTCTGCCGGAAATATACACTGAGATGTTATCAGGGAACTGGTGCAGTAAAACAACCAAACGGAGCTACATTGTGCTACATCAGGCAGAACAATGAGGATGTGCTTGCGTAAGCCGATTGACATCAGCTCATATGCTTCACTATCAGTCGTTTTTTAATCAACTGCTTGGCTATCAGCTGACCAGCAACATCCAATCATATCGTTACAGGTAGTTGAGGTAACCGAGACATGTCTCCATGCTTTAATGTTCAAAAAGCTCTTTATTTTTCTCATACTGCCTGTGCTGCAGCACCTCTTTTCACCCTCTGTCTGAAACCAGAGCCCAGTCTGCTCTGATTGGTTAGCTGGCCGGCTCTGTTGGGATTGGCCAACCGCTTAGAGATGTCCCGCCCCTTAACCTATCATGTAAAATGTATTGGAGCGCTAGCCAATAGAAGCGTGAGTGTTACATAGTGATGTCACTATGTTCAGGAAGTAAACAAAGGAGTCCAATGGAGGCGTTTCAGGCGGAGGGGGGAGGGACTTTGGGATTTTAGCCTTTGCAGACTATTTACATTCACAAAAACCTACATAATAACTACAGGAAAGGGAAATACCCCAAAAAGCTTTACAAGCACTGCTCCTAGTACTAGCCTCCTGCGATGGGTTAAATGCAGAGGCCACATTTCACTGTGTGTGCTGTGTGCTCTGCATGTGTGACCATTAAAGAGGGGTTTCATCCCTCCGATTCTATCTATCTATCTATAACCTAATTGTTACTGACTGAAGGCATATAACAGTAAAAGCTGATTTACAAAAACAAAGCATCAAACACTTTTACACACTTTATACCAGCATCTTGGTAGCCGTGCTTTTTGGAGTTAAGCAATGGAAGAAACTAGAGTAGAAAAAAGTTATAATTATGTCTTTTCTAACAGATTAAATGTTTCTAGGACTGACACGGAGGGTACGAGAAAGTGTGTACTTTTGAGTGTGAGTCAGAAGCAAAGTTATAGACTGAGAGAGATAGTGAAAGCTGAACAGAAAGACAAAGGAGCTGTGATTGTCAAAAAGAAGCAGGGCGAGACTAGAATTCAAATGAGTAATTAATAAGAGCACGGGAAAAAAAAGGGTGACGCTCGCCTTCAGTGAAATAGACTTACCCTGTCAGTGCGGGCGGAAAACAAAGCCTCGCATATAACTCATTAATTCCACTTCAGTATACATCCAGCATGCAACTTAAAGAAGGTCTTTCTTATACTGAAGACAGTACAGTATCTCACCAAAGCTGTGATAATAGGAAGGTTTCCTGGGTTCAGCTGCACGGATGGAGCAGATCACTTTGGCTCCAGTCAGATCTGCAGAGTCCTCCTTCGCTGCGTTCTCCTCAGGAGGAGGAACACGGATGATGTTGTAGAAGAAACCTGAGGAGGACCAAAAACAAATTATGTTTCACAGTATTATTTGGGATAGATAACATAAGGATATTTATGTAAATACTGACATATATACAGTAATGTTTGGTAAGCAGGCTTGGGAAGTAACGAATTACATGTAACGGGATTACGTATAGGATACAAAAAAACTGTATTCCCTTACAGTTAAATACAAACAGACGTATTTAGATTACTGTTAAATGTCTAAATATTAGGGATATAGCAGGATTACAATGTTAGTAAAACAACTACTAGGAGAATATTGTGGTTCTTTTTCGAGAAGGTTAATACTTTAATAGAATCTATACTGCCTGAATTTGCTTTATGGTATTCACGTCCTTTGGTCCATTTGTACTTATTTAATTCAGTAGGTGAACCGATTTGTTCGTGAAATAGTGTGTGTAAGTTTAAATGTATATGTATCAAACTAAAATGGAGCATGTTCTGTTAGCTCAGATTTCATTTCTGCTTTTTTAAACTGTAGTATGTGCTCATGTGTTTCATTGCTGTGTTTAAATGCTTCACGAAAGGCAGGTTTTTTTGAGTAGAGGACACATTTGTTGTACTGAATATCTTGGTTTCTTCTTTGTAAGGTTACATTGTCCTTTGATTATCAGGTCATCCAAAAGTAACGGAAAGTAATCAGGTTTCAAAACTTTTATATTTTGGTACTCAGATTAGGTTGCTTTACAGCTAATTAGTAATTGCAACGGATTACATTTTTAAGCAACCCTCCAAACACTGTTGGTAGGTAGGAAGATGGGAAGGGCGGAAACGAAGGTTACCGTTTTTTCCGTAGGAATTGCCCATGTTGTACGTGGCTCCGTCACGGTCATAGTGTGGGTGAGCTGTCGCCGAGTTCACAGCAATGTATTGAGTCCAGTCGACCTAAAACAGACAGCATCATCATCTTCATTGTCCTCATTATCATGATCAAAAGTCGCCCACCTTTCATTTTCTTTGCCCTGTGACCGTTTATCAGCACCAGTATTCAGAAGAGACTTTAATATCTGTTACACTGACTCACCTTCTCCTTTGTCTCCAGGCTCTGTGGATCTACTCGTCTCATGTAGTTGGTTTCTGTGCTGACATAATAGTCTCCCTTGTACTTGACAAAGTTCACACTGGCGTTATCCGTGGACTCTGTTCACACACAAACATATCAGGAACATCTTAAATATAGAAGTCAAACTCACAGGAACCACTTTTTCCATCATTTTCTTCTGCTTAATTTTTCACAATCTTGAGTCATGCTTTCCCTCACAGACCTCGACATGCACACACACACACACATCGGCTTGTGCGGTCCATTAACATCAAAAACCCAATATGATGTAACAGAAGCTTTCATTAGACTGCTCAAGCCATACACAATACAGTCAAGGCTGTGAGCACTGAGGAAAGAAAACCTTAAGAAAACTATTTTTTTTTCTGACTATTTACTTGGCCTGTAATAATCTATCAAAGCTGGTGAGGTACCTTCATGCAATAATGAATCGGGTAGTTTAATAATGCATTTGGCACTGCTGGTGATATATCATGCTGCGCTGAAATGGTTTACACATGGGAATATGTAAAGAAAACACACATACTAGGGACTGAAAAGCGTGAAAAGAAGCGTGCAAAGATGTTCTTGCAGGGATCGGGCATGGCTAATGTCCCGAACTCCGACACCACGATGCGGTTCTTCTCTGAGTTTTGGACGTACGAGTCACTTTGCAGGAAACGACTGCTGTAGGTGACGTTCCCCTCGCACAGGTGGAACCGGTGCATCATGGCCATGCCGTCAAACCAGTGGGTGTATCTGAGAGCAAAAAGATTGTGTTAAAGGTCACCTATTATGCAAAATCCACTTTTTCATGAATACATAAACATGTGTCCCCTCTGTGTAAAGAGATTCTGAAAGTTTCAGGAAAAAAGATTCTCTCTCTTTTTGTCCTGATCCATTTATATAAAAACCTGTCTGAAATCGAGCTGATCAGATTTTGGCCACTTTATGATGTCATAACGATTTTTTGGCTTGTGTAACCATTAGCCAATCACCAGCCAAGGTAACCCCCCCCCCCCCCTCCTTATCACCTGAATGTCCTCCTAGAGCACCATTAGCCGTGTTCACACCAAGTACTTTGCCGTACTTAGTGCCGGCACTAAGTGCCCCGGCACTTAGTGCCCCGGCACTTATTACCCCAGGGCACTTAGTACAGATCGCGTTCACACCGGAATAAATTCCCTGAGGGAAGATTACGCAAATGAGCCGCTGACGTCACTTTGTCTTCTTCTGCTTTGGGTTTACTGGCAGGCCACAAACCACTTCACGGTGTATACTGCCACCCGAAGTCCCCGGCCGGAAGTCCCCGGAGTTGGGGACTGGCTTCAGTAGAAGCTGCTGGGACTCCCAGCAGCTTCTACTGAAGCCTTCCGAGTAAATCGCCAGAACGCCGACACCTCCTCATCTCCACCGCTCCCATGTTTTATTTTGTGTTGCCATAAGTTAGTCTCTCTGCGTTTGTGCGCTGGGCGAATGCTAATGCTAATAATGCTAATGCGAGGATAATAAAATGGCGGCTCTACAAAACATTTCAGAGTTTTACGGGGCGTGGTTTGCAATTCGCCCAGCCAATCAGAACTGGGGCACTTTTTTCCCCCAGGAAAGTACCATCTCTCAGCAGGCACTAAAAATGGGGGTAAAAGTTCCCGGCACTCAGTACTCTTTTTGGTGTGAACGCGACATAAGGGGTACTAACGGAACTAAACACGAAAAGTACGGGGAAAAGTACTCCGGTGTGAACGCGGCTATTGTATTCTTTTTAACCAAATATCTCTCAGAGGGGCATGGGGAGTGGCTCCTTATTTTCATCTAAAGTAACAGACAGAGAATCAGCACTTTTGAAACAGGCCTGAATCAGAGGGGATTATGGGATGCTGCAATGATCTGTTTGGTGTTTGGAAAAAACAGTATAATAGTGGACCTTTAAGTTATTTGTCACCAGGCCTTTGTGAAAGACACAGTTACAAAGAGTTATGTGGGCACTCTCAGACAGTTTATTTAATAAGAAATGATAAGCATTTAGGGAATTGATTTCTTAATAAATATGGACAGAAAAAACGTAATATCGTCATCTACATGAGGACCAACACTTTTGAGAATGTGTCATTTGTGGAGGAAGAAATTACCCTTACAGTATGTGACTCACTGTGTGACTGCATATTTTACATGGATTAAATATCTACGTTCTTTTATTTTTAAATAATTCACTGAACATCTCCAAACTGTGACATGTGTGTATATATATGGTAAAGTTGTCTGAAACATATTTGTTCCTCTGATCCTTTCTTATTTAACCATTGTTGTCATTTAACGAGTCAAGCAGTATTGTTTGGCAATACACATGTTTGTGTTTTGTGTCTGACTTTTTAAGTTTGCCATGTTCACTGTTTTGAGAACAGGGTTTTAAGAAATATGTCATAAGGCTTGTCATAGGCCTAGGGCAAATTGTGACAAACTATTTAAGCCTTTAAATCAGTGTGGGAGTGATACAGGTTTTAACCCTGAATACTACAATAACTTCTATGTGTCTATGCTATATTTCCTTTTTTGTAAGCCGTCATGCTAATAAGGCTCATTTGATTTGAGTAACCTCTGCACTTTAAAGGTCCCCTATTATACTGTTTTTCATCAATATATTATAGGTCTCAGATATATACAAAACATGTCTCTGAAGTGTTTGGCTCAAAATACCAAACATACGTGCATTGTAGCATCCCATAAACCCCTCTAGGAGGAGATTCAGGTGATAAGGTGGGGGGTGTTACCAGGGGCGGACTGGCCATCGGGACGTTCGGGACGAATCCCGATGGGCCGGTACTGAAGTGGGCCGGTCGGACGATGTGGGCCGCTCGGATAAGTCACCAGCACCCCCCCCGTTAGTATTTTACCGAGGTGGGCCGGCGGTACCGAAGTGGGCCGGTCGAGAGTCCCGGGCTGATTTGTAGTCCCAGTCCGCCCCTGGGTGTTACCTTGGTTGGTGATTGGCTAATGGTTACACAAGCCAAAAAATCGTTATGACATCATAAAGTGGCCAAAATCTGATCAGCTCATTTTCAGACAGGTTTTTATATTTAACTTTCAGAGTCTCTTTCCACAGAGGGGACACATGTTGATGTAGAAAAGACAGGAAGAAGTGGATTTTGCATAATAGGTGACCTTTAAAAGTAGTTGTTTCTTCCGTATTACCTGTCCTTCCCAAACTCAAACTTCCCAGGACCATTCCTCAAGAAGCTCCCATTGATCCATGTTGGGACGGTTCCCTTGATGGTGGTGGGGATGGGATCAGGGGTCTCCTCCACAGACTGCAGCAGAGGGGCTATGCTCTCCAGCCCCTTGCCCGGCGGACATTTCTGCCCGCTGGAAACTGAAGAGAGGAGAGGAGGGTTGTTTTTTTATTAGTATGCTGTTCAATCTTTGTCAGTGGGTCAGTGGTTCGAATCCCACCCCCTGCAGTCAACATGTCGACAAAAATAAAGCTAAACCTTGAGGGAATTTTAACATTATTGAAGTGTATGTATGTCACTTTGGTTTATGTAAAACACGTGCAGCAGCTGAACTCTTGGCCCCACCACCCCTCACCTCTCTCAGGTATATTACCTCATCATGCATACACTAGGCGTGGTGCAGTTATGTTTATGGGACTTTGCACAACTGGGAATGAGCAAGTATGTAACTTGTTATTCACTCTTGCGGGGACATGACCTAAGGATATGAACACAATCGTTAACAACAAGCAGCTTTATTCTTCATAATTAAGTTGAACACAACACGATCATGAGACATCTGAGTGTTCAATTAACAGAACATTACACTTTCACACCACTGCCGCTTTTTTTTATGCTATCAACACTTGAATCAAATAATACAACATGTGAATAAAAAATGGTTTGGTGAAAAAACCTCTTCTGTGGTACAGTAGGAGCAAGGGCTGTTTAAGTGTTAGGAGATATGTGCTGTTATGTTCTTATGGCTCATGGGGTCATGCACTTTGAATGACATCTGCGTTATATACTCTCTTATCTTTTATCCAATAACCAATTCCCATTTCTCACATCGCCACACATAATGGCGTTTGTAAAATATAGTAGTAGTTACGTGATTAGCAAAAGCAAATCGCTCCGGTTCAATACGGAGCCCATGCTGAGCTCAGGCTTCAATATCACAGTTTTTGGTCAACGTGGATTGTTATTGCCGCCAATCAGTTGAGGCAGAATTTAGTTCATTCACATAACACTGCTACAACAGACTATAAAAACGAGAATGTGCAATAGAGAGATAACCACTGCAGGCTTTAACAGGCTATCTGTATGTAGACTGTGAGTTTTGATTGTGATTTCTGCATTGATGCAATATGTGCTGTCATTTCTAAAAGGAAGGGTATTCCATGTGTTTTCCTTCTACTGCATTCAAAATGGAGTCTCTTGAAAACATAAGCAGTGAAAATATATTCAGGTATCTTTTATCCAACACTGTTGTATAACCACACTTGCAAGATTGGTTTACTTGTAACATGTCTTTGTTTAACAATGTTTTCTTAAGCCACCAGCAGTTTGTCTGAATCAGTAAGTGTAAAAGTAAAAGGCCTTGTTGGAATACATTTTCAGATTCATGCGCACCTTTTTTTAATAATCCTCTTTTCATTTGTCTGTGCAGGGACCTTGCAGCCAGTTTTCTTATTACATTTAAGAGCTGAGAATGACTAAAAGCTGTTAATTAGACTTTTTTTTTCTCCAGCGCTGATTCAACGGGAGACCTTGGAGCAGGAACAATGGAATATGCCAACATGTCCTATTGTAACTGCAGCTCTGATTTTGAAACCCAAGAAAATACAATTATGTCTAAACCACATTACGCACGTCATTGTGTCTCTGTGTGTGTGCGTGCGTGCGTGTGTGTGTGTGTAATTCTATGCAAGATTCAATGCTAATGTTATTATCTGTGCTTTAAAAAGAGATACACCAAAACGCTATGAATGTCCACACTTTGATGTGTGAATTGTTAATTCAGTCAGTCATGGATTTTCCCCCAAAATCAATAACAATGAAAAATGGCTTCTTGTTTTGCATTCATGTAGAAACAAGACTAGTGTGAAATCAAGCAGATCCTTAAATGCTTAACTCAAAGGAATTGTGTATTCACGTTATTGTGGAATCATATAAAACCGCTATCAAGCTCAAATATTCTCCTCTTTTAAAATGATGACTAGTATTTTTTTTTTACGATTATCCCAAAAAACAAACGTCTTTATTTTTGCTTCACAATCATATTCTAACAAAAAACATCTGGCAACAGGGTGGTGTGTACTCACTGCCGTGTGTCTGCGGCTCTGCGGTCGTGGACATGGTTGCTCTGACTGCAGATACCATCAGACACATGCAGAGGATTTATAAACGCCTGAGGACAACCTTTAAACCTTTGGTTTCTTCCCAAGATAAGGAAGTTGAAACAACAGGTGTGGGACAGAGTTGACTGTCATTAAACCGCCAAGAAAAGTGACAAGAAAAGCAGCTTGATTTCATGATGCAGGTCACTGTTAGCATAGTGAGACATAATACATTAGTATAGAGTTCTTAAAGATACAACACAATTAAATGGTGTCTATATCTGTTCAAAATAAATATTTTATTCAATTGTTATGCTTAAAGGTAGGGTAGGTAAGTTTGAGAAACTGGCTCGAGATCGCTAGAATTTGAAAATACACAGCCGGAGAAAATCTGCCACTTCCTTACAGAGCCCCTCCTCCAACACACACGAACGCACACATGACCAATGAGGGCACGAGATAAGTTTGTGCACAGATGGAAGGCTGACAGGCAGGTAGGCCATCCAAAAATGATTGGTCGTGCTTTTTACAGTACTACGGCTTCCACAGATGACATTTTTTTATGGATTTTTTGTCAAAGCACTTCAGATATTCATTGCTATCGGGATGTTAAGAGCATTCCATGGAATATAACAAAAAGTGTATCTCGAGCCGGTTTCTCAAACTTACCTACCCTACCTTTAAGACTCAAAATCTGGTTATGTGTTATATTATGATATGTTACTTTTATTATTGCATTGTTCTTATTAATAGTAAATATAAAGGTATCTAATGTCTAATTCCAGCACCAGATACTTTTTTACGCTGCTATGGACAATCTTGCACTATGTACATTCCCTAACATATTGAAGTGACTGTTTTTTTGTTATTTTGTATTGATTGTTGTGTTTTATCTTAATGTGTGCATATGTGTAAATGTGTCTGTTGATTGTATATATAGAGGATATACACATTTATATATTTGTATTATTGTATTTGGGATTGTTGGAAACGTTATTTCGATCTCTCTGTCTGTACAAGCATACAGAAAAATTGACATTAAAGTTGACTTGACTTTGGTAGTGTTTATTTGTATATGTTGTGTGCTGTGTGTAAGAATGACCTAAGACCTTTGGCATTTTATCAACGTACTGGTCACTTTTATCTTATCTCACTTCACATTTATGATTGCTCGTGTCACACTGCAATCAGGGTTCCTACACGATTTTGTCCGGTTAAATAATGTAAAATGTATATCATTTCCTAAGATATTGCAAGCAGAATTGATATGCCAAACCTGTTGCTATGTCTGCAAACAAGTGCAACAGTAATAAGGATTTGTTTAAGACCCTCGGTGATAATTGGCCATGCAGGATTGTGTCGGTGTGTCTAATTCTGATAATGATAGCGTTCAAGTTATTTGACATTGCATGCAACACCCCAAGCACTCCTGCTAACACGCCTCTCAGATCGGAACTAGTTGTGGTTGTTCCAAAACCAAATTGCTCTGAATAACTTGTCTTACACTGTACTGTGAGTGTGTATACGTGTAAAACATGTGTGAATGAAGAACAAAACTAAGAGAGGGACCGCTTTTAAGTAGAAACCACACTTATATGTATAAAAAACATGAAAATACCTGAGGACAAAGACATATATAAAAAGGTCTCTTAATTGTTTATAAATGGTAAAGGGTTTAACATTAAAAAAACAATCACAGGAGACTGAATGCCAAGTTTAGGTGATTGATAATAATTGTGTCTTCAAAAAGAGGGCAGAGCATACATAATTTATAACGAAAATAGATATATAAAATGAGCAATTGGAACATGATCATACAGGCATAAACACTCAATCAATACACATAATGATATATTCTAGCTTTAAGCTGTTTTTAACACACTATATCACTGTATGTGGTGAGACAGGCTGCTACTCTCTCCCACTCGACATGAAGGGAAATAAAAACCTGGCGTGTACGTACAAGACCTGTAGGAAGACCAGTTGGGTCATGATGTGCTTATGAGATTCAATTAAATCGGTAGTTCCCACACAGGAGTTTCTACGATATGATAAACTCAAAAATACTAGGAAGAACTGAATTAAACCAGAGTAAACAAAGACATCAAAAAGAAATAAACATATGCAGCAACTATCAAAAAGCGAAAGCAGGGAAGGCCTTCTGTTAACATCAGGAGGAAGGATGATGATAAAAGCAAATCAGCAGCAGACAGCCAGCCGATGTTTGGATTTACTTCAGCCCGCCGGCTCAAACCACACCGCCTGTGGCAAATAAGGCTGCCGCTGGAAAATACAGCTGTGTCGTTTTTTTTTCGAAGCAGAAAGCTTAACAATATGGACGTTAGTGAGCTCAGAATGTGCTAAAGCATTAGACTTTAGCACAAATCAAAAGATCCTGCATGCTGTACATTGTCATGATGTTGCTGGATACTGTCACAATAATATTAATACATTATTGCAAAATCTGTCTCCTTTGCTCCACGTCCAAGTACAATGTTTGCAGCCCTACAATGATAAACCTTACAAGTGTCATCAGGAGTTCAGCTTTTCTGTTCTGTGAGGGAAAACCTGCTGAGGTGTACCTGCTACAAACCCCCGGGGGGCTTTCAGTTGATGAGGTGTTTTGCTTTGCTAAGCCATGAAACTAGTAAGCCTCACCTCAAAAGATGACAGGCTGCACATAAACATATTTCAGTGGCAAAGAGCAGATGTCGGAGATCAGAGGTTTTCAACTCAAATCGGAGGTATTTCAGGTCAGGGTGGTAATGTTTCGCTGTAAAAGCAGCATTACCTGAGATGTAGCTAACCTATTACCTATTCTGATCCTGTCCCGTTTAATGTAGTCGTATAACTACAGCACAAACCTCAGTTCATTATCTTGTGTCATCTAGCGCCTTAAATTAATACACAACGTTTAATCAGAAAGTGAGCGAGGGGGGGGGCATCTATTCTGGACACTGCAACACGTTCAACTGTGTTTTGAAGAATCGCTTTAATTGGCTTTCAATTAATTGCATCTTGCACCTGTATGGAAGCTTATCACATGCACTGTGATAATGCTTTCACATACAGACAAAGAACATTTAGACACGTAAGAATCACAACCCTCAGATTAGTTTATTGCTATCGTTGCTTTTGAAGTGTTTTTTTATCCACCTAATATTATCTCCAGTCTGTAAACTATGGGTAGCGTACATGTAGCTCTAACCACTCTTTGAAAATAAGATTTAAAAAACAAACATGATTTATAGAATGGTTTTGTAGATTCAGCTGTCAGATGTTGTTAGGTATTTCTCGTAGTGTATTAGAGTATCTGACTATCATTTCCAACATCAAAGATTAGCTTGACCTCCTTTACAGATGCTTCTGTACAACCTAATTAGATTCAGAACTGATTCCTTAAATGCCTTTTTTTGTATACAAAGCTTGAATGTAATTTCGCTCCAGACAGACACACACATGTAGCATTAAATATGTCTATCTTAATGTAAAATAATGCCACTTAGGCTGGTGTCTAAACAGATAAAGTGTCCCATCTAGTGGTGAACTGGGAAACTAAATGATTCATGAACTGAACAGAAAATCCAGTCTGCAGAAATCTGATAATTTTGTATTTCTTCTCATCACTGAAATGCTTTGTAGTACAACACAATGTTTGTCAGCTCCTGTACCTGCTTAAGCAATGTTTGGCATCAACAACCTGATTCTGTCTGAGCTGATTTCAGGTCCTCTCATCAGAAACACCTTGGAAATCATTTCAATCACTTTGTGTTCAAACAGTGACTTTCATTCACCACCTTTGCTGCCTCCTCCTCATAACACCCTACCTTAATTGTGCCATGTCACACCACCCAAGCAGTCTCTTACAGATTAACACTTCCAACTTGACATTTTAATATCTCTGAAATTGCTCCCGAGTCTCATAACTTAGTCAAGTTATTAGAACAAGGCCATGATGAACTGGGCCAGTGTTTCAAACCACAATTTGTTCCTACTTCTTACTAAATTGACTGTATTTATATAACGCTTTATCCATTCTTTACGAACCCTCAAAGCGCTTTACGTCCAACAAGTCATCATTAACCCATTCACACCTCATTCATACACAGCAGTGCCATTTTCACAAGTAAGCTAACAGACACACACATTCACACACCGTCGAACATGCCTCAGGAACACCTTGGGGTATCACTCCAACATGTTGGCTGATTGAAAGACAACTCTACATACTACATCGAATAATGCTAAGAATATCCGAATCAGAATCGGTTGTATTACCAAGTAGCTTCACACTTACAAGGGTATTGCTTTGGTTTATATTGTGCATACCAAGACACAGAAATGAAAACAGTACGGTTATAAAAGCCATTTCAAAAAACAATTTTAAGACTATTGCAACAAATGCGACAATATTTACACAACATATTTTGTGAGAAACAGAGTACAGTAAAATATAATAAAATATGACTAATACTATATATTCAAAGTGAAAAGCGGGGCAAATTGAAAAAGAGGTAGTGTGGAGAAGAAATGTGCAACATGGATTTACAATATCAAAAAGAAGATACGCTGTTCCCAGGATGTGCATTTAGTATGTAATGCAAAATGTTTGTCTGGGGGTGATAAAAGTCAGTGGGGGTCCCGGGCCTTGTCAATGAGGCCGGTAGTAGATGGTGAGATTGTGTATGTTTGGTCATGCATTATCTCTCACATTTCTAGCGCTGCAGGACTCAGTAAGAATCTAAAGAAGTCAAAGATTGCGCTGCCACTGTCAATATGTTCTGCACCGATGGCACCAGCTGTTCCTCATTGTCCCGGTTATGTATCGCAGTAATATCCCCTATATTGAGCTTTGTGTCACATTTCTGAGAAAAACAGTCCAGTACCTGTAATCCAGATGTTGGCTCACCCATGCTGTTATGCAAGCGTTTAATACCAGGTTTCAGGGAAGAGACTGTGTCATGAAAATTAGCAAAACTCAGATTGAAAACCGAGAATAATGTGGAGCGGTGTGTCTTCACCTCC